ACAATTTACATTCAAGTTACTTAAAAACATCTTTCGAAATAGAACTTACTAAGTATGGATTCACTCTTTTCAGATCATTCTACTATAATTAATCTTAGGAGATAATATAATCAATCATATTTAGTAAATAAATTATATATATATATATATATTAATAGAATTTCTTGTGTACTTGTGTCAATTGAGTACCTACCAGTAGCTATTAATCACTGGTAGTTTGATCTGAATTCGATTCCAGGTGAATGGGCTAGTGTCGTGGTTTTTTCCCCATGTGTAACATACAAGGTCAGTTTGTTACACATGGGAAACATACATATAAAGCCAGTTTCCCATGAAAGCCCTCCATGAAGAGATCCCTTCTGTGAAGGCAGAGAGTCTTTATATGCTTTACTGTAATCATATAAACCAAACCATGAAAGTTGGTGGAGATCCCGCCAAAGTTCCATCAGTCATTTCTGCGAAATTCTTTTTTGAATATCATACAGTAAAACATTCATCAGTTTATCTGCATTATCTATCATATAGTCAGTGCTGTGGAGTTCTAGTTTGTTACTGTTTTGTTGGCCATATACAGCTGTTCTTTCCCCACTCAACAAATGTTAATTTTCTCAACCAGCTGCAAATGAACTGGAATGCAGTCACATAGTATTCCCCCCCCCCCAATATGCGAGGAAAAAAAGCATGGCAAAGCAATTAATTTATATCCTTGTTTATAAACACAAATGGTGGCTCAATAAGAATAATTGATCTTGCGTCTAACAAAAGCACAGTTACTATGAGTGTATTGTGACATGGGCGAGTTTCATGGCAGATGGGATAATATATAAGTACTGTTTCTTGTTCCTTGTAAAATGTTTCAATTTATTATTATTTATGAACAGAACTGTGATCCGTAAAGATAGTCAAACACGTTTCTCACCAAAATTACCAATGAGTAATTTTTCATGGAGGTAGCAATAATCAGAAAGTACATTAATTTTTCAAAGAGCTATCAAAATATATAAATATTAATATTTTTTTAGACCATCATGCTCTCTAGATCTATTTAATCCTGCTCCGTAATATCTGAAACGATGTCATTTTGAAAAGCAAACTGATCTCTGAATGAATAGCTTAAAAGCTTTTCAGAGCAATTCAGTATATGGTACTTTGACACCAATTATGATAAGAAAAATGTATCAGAATGTAACTAATAAAGTTATATTTATTACTACTACATTTTAAAGTAGTATATTAGATCTTGCTGCTCTTTAAATTGAATGTAAAGTTCTTAAGGAAATTTTAGAAGCTTATTAAAAACATTTCTACTACGAAGTCAAAACAAATTTTATTTTGAATTTAATAGTTATGAAATTGGAGAGAATGAAGTAGTATCCTAATATAGATTTTATGGTATTTTCCTGTTATTGACACCACATGAGAAAGATTTTGTTGCTGAATTTTAAAAAATCTGAAAAAATCCTAAATTTTTTATAATGTATGGTTTTGTTATTTAATATGTAATTTAAGTAATACGAACTGGTAAACATTTGTTTCGATGCATATATTTATAACTTTAAAATACATAAGTACAGTCAAAAATCGTTAATCCGGACACCCATTATCCGGAATGATCTATAATCCGGACCTCAAAGGTACAGACTTTCTGCACATGTGTCGCGTTGACGTGCGTAAGACCTTTACGGCTGCGCATATGCAAGTGCGCAAGTGCATAATACGTTTACGCATGTGCGTTTAATGTATAACGGACGGTATAAGATAAAATTATCTAATTATTTATTTCAGTTAATGTTGCAGACTGCGTTGTTCCTTAATCTTCGAATTGGAAATTATTTTTTGCAGACAGTTAGAACAATTTTATAAAAGTAAGCTTGAACTTTCGATTATGTCAAATAGAATTTCCGATGCTGGAGCTCCCAAAGGATCTACAAAGCGAAAGTATGTTTTGAGGTCCATCAAACAAAAAGTGGAATTGCTGCAAAAAATGGATAAATGCATGAAGAAAGTGACAGAGAGGTTAGTGAAAACGAAAAAATTTAGATTGACAAGTTAGTCTGTATTCTCGGCACAGCAATTACAGGACTTGAACAACGGAACTTTGTAACTGAACAAGAAATTATGTCTGTTTATATAGAATTAAAGAGAAAGTATTAGCACATAAAACAAAGCAACTTAAACAACTTACATTGAAAGAAATGTTTAATAAAGTAAACAAATAAATATAAAGCTTTTTTTTTGTAAATTTTGATACCCTTTAGATCATAATTGTTCTTTATTTCATAAATTACAGTTCATATTTTTAATTTTATAATTTCTGCATGCCATATTACCAGATTTAAACTGATGATCTATAATCTGGAAAAATCGATAATCCGGAATCGCCGAAGTCCCGACGAGTCCGGATTAACAACTTTTGACTGTACTGCAATGATTTAATTAATATATTTCAAAATCATGAAATACAGTAAAAGCCTTACTGTCTGGCATCTAATTAACCAGAAAGTTCAAATTACCAGACAATTTTAGAATTTATTTCTTTCTTTTTTCTTTTACATATTTTTTGAAAAATTAAATGAGAGACCGCTCTGATAACTTCTAAAATGTGAATAAAATTACAGAACTTTCTTTTAGAAGATGCTGCTCACACCTCCCCCTGCAAACCATTGTATCCATCATATTGTTCGAAGAATTGGTCTTTAGAATGGAATATGCAAAGAAAAGTGAGGAGTTGTTATGGTACAGGAATATAAGAAAGATTCCAAATTTCGCAATAGGCATTTAGTTTGTATATTGTGATCACTACTCCTGCTAGTATGTTTAATGACGGTAGTCTCTAGAGTAACTGGTCTTATGCACTTATGCATTTTAAGAAGAGATGAGTTACGTTAAAGTTTTATTGTTACTTTTTGGGAGGGGGGTAAATGATGGCCTTTGGAAAGATGAAACAATATTATTACATGTAAAAAGCAAAAAAGTGTACATTGCAAATCATTATTAAGTGCACATAGATGGTTAATTTAAATGCATTTCTTTGAGACACCCCTAAAAAATGGATTAGTACTCGTTTCTAAGACAACAGAAGGCTGTATTCATTCTGTCAAGAGGTAGTTGGGTAAGCAGACAGTCCCTGCATTTGGAGAAATCACTGCATGTAGAAGGAGTCCCTTGACACAATTTCTGCTACAGGTATTAAATTGCTTTCATCAAGCCATTTATTCCGGTTCCAGCTGATGAAGCAGATGGATCATCTGCAACTTAAATGGGATTTTGATGTGTTAGCCTAGAGTTTTTAATCTTGTTTTTTAAGTTAAAATCTAACTCCATTGAAGCACAGGAGTGCTGTTACAAATCACATAAAGATTGTACACGCTGTTGGTTGGATTTTAAAGAGACTATGATTTAGATGAGTAAGTTGTGAATCATTTGGTTGAATTGCCTGCCATCTGGGTCATATGGATGTTGCTTTAGGAAGTGTTGATTGCAGTTGTTACAAAGCAGTTTGTCTTAGTGCCAGGAAGTGGCCTAGGAATATAATATGAAGCAAGGTAATTTGATCTGTAACATATTTTCACCAAGCTAAGAGCATCATTGCTCATAATGCAGTAAGGTACCATGCTGTTTATGGATGTGTGTGATAGTTCTTGTACTATTTCACACTATTTGGCAGTGACAGTAGTACATGCAAGGTATTCTTTATGATATTTTCTGTCAAATACTGGCTTCCAACAACATTACCAGGATTCGTGCTATTTTAGAATTGTAGATGAGCTCAAGCTAGAATTATCTTTGGGTAATTAATCCCATTTCGTCTTGGAACATCACATTTGGATGGAGTCAATCAAAAAACTTCACTCAGTCTGTTTTCACAGTTGTGTACCACCTTTTCTGTAGCAGTATAAAATTATAGTTATGAAACTAAATTTAATCTGCATAATATGGTATATAAATAATGTATTTACTTGTATATTCCTTCCTCTAGCATTTAGGCACAAGGTTTTGAAGATTCTTTATATATTCACATAATTTTCCCCTTCCTCAAAGTATTCAGAAAGCTTGCTCCTCTAAATTTTAAAATGGGTTCATCCACATAATGGTTGTTTTCATCTTAGTAATTGATTTGCAGGTGGATTTTGAGTGCATGGGCTTTGATTGATGAAGCAATAATAGTAAAAAGCTCCAAGGAAATGGGGATTTCTAATGCTGTTGATGGTCCTGGAGATCATTGCATGTTGGAAGACAGATTGAAAGCAATAGGAATGACTTGCAAGCTCTAGCAGACAATACAGGCAGCAGCTCTAGCAAGAATGAATGATTTGAGGCTTAAGGAATAGTAGTGGACTACAGTAAGAGCAGACATGATTCTAGATATCTTAATAGATATTATAATGTTAGTGCTTCTGTGTATTTTCATCAGAATTTAGGTTTCTTTTAATTAAATAACAATGTGGTAGTTATTGGTAATTTATCCGTGAATAGTACTCTTCATTTGTTTTGCTCTTACTGTAAGTGCATCCTTTGGAAATTAAATTTTTTGCAAAATTTTCCCCTCTCAGTGTTCATAGGATAACATTATTAAAAAAGAGGAGAAATGTGAAGGTAAATACACTATATAATATTTTATTAAATAGTTTCATTATTAACAATACTTTATAACAGTTGAATGCTAAATGCTTTAAGTATGTCTAGATCAAAATTATGTAGTTCTGGATGATTTGAGTGAAACCACGAAACCAGTTTTCAGATTTCTTAAAATAATTATTTTAGATAATTTCTATTAGTTGCTTTAAGTATATCAAGAAACTGCTGCTTTTTGCAGATAATAGTGCAGTCATTTTCTGTTTTTGTTAACTTTATATTAATTTTGGTAATATTGACTTTGATAACTAATGTATTTAAGTGTCATGCATGTCTATGTAATGATGCATATTTGTAGTAATTTTATTTAACTCATTTATTTTGTTTTGTCTGTAACTGGGGAAATTATCTCATAAATTTTTTAGGGAACTTCACTTTTTAAATACAGAAAGAAGTTTTAAAAAGTAAGTATTATTGCCATAGCTTGCTAATTTGTTGTTAAATGTTTTTCTGCTCTTATTATTTGATTATTAATTTCCGGAGTTAAGATTTTTTTTAAATTAAATTTAGTACAAGGAGGGATTAAATACACAAGCTGATATTACTGCTGTTTTCCTTATTTTTACATTTGTCTGAGATTAATATATCAGTAATAATAAGTATTTGTATTTGGAATTTTAAGGGTTCTGGTACTAATTTTGTCATCTTTTAAAGTTTTAAAGTATTGAAATATTTTTCATTTCAGTATCGATGCATACCATCTTGGGTATTTCTTTGTAAGATATAGGCTAAAATATGAATAAAAATTTAAACTTATGAATTCTCATAAGTTTTCTTCTAACTTCTTTCTAAACTTTAATGATTTATGTGCACTGTAGATACTGAAGTACTCAGTCTGCATAAATTTACTATTGAAGACAAGTTCATATATTATAACATATCATGAAGGCTGTATTTTAAAATCATCATGCAGACTCATGCATAATTTTATGTAGCATTTTTATTACAAATGTAAATTGCCTTTAATTGTATTCATGTCACTGAAAAATAGGTAGCCAGTGTAACATTAATAGATCAATCATCAATCATTAATAGATCCAAAGAATGCTCAACAAAGTTTTAAAATGTGAACTTAGTTAATAGTATGTAATTCATTTAATTATTTCTTAAGGCCTATGCATAAAGTGAATATTAATTTTTTACAGTTATGTTTTATTCATATGAATTCCTTTATTTAGATAATAACAGCTAGTGAAAGAATCCAAATGTGATTCAGACTAAGATGAGACAAATATTATTTTCTATTTGTCATCTTGTACAATTTTCTCATTATTTCTGAATATAAGAAAACTAGTTTAGCTTAGCAAACTTTTTTCTCATTGTTATCTTTTTTCATGCAACTTTCTGCAATCTTTTTATGATTTCAAGAAATCAGCAAAACTGCAGCCTGACCTTGATTAGCATGATTCTTGTTATCCCTGAAATTCTCTATTCAATAGATATGTTCAGCAAGTAGAATTCACATCTGAGGTTTCACTTAGAACATACATAATATTAAAATAAACTTTTCACAATTTCTGCTGCTGTTTCTTAAGAAATTCTCTGATTTTTTAATTGTGCTATTTTTTTTAAGTGAAAAATCTACTATTATGTGGTTCATACTCATCCACCATCTTGCATAAATAAATAGCATTTTGCATGCCATATTTGTGTTCATTATTATATGCTATAAGCCAGCTTATTCATAGTCAGACAGTAGTCATTGAAATTTTAGCAGTTTCTAATGGAAATTTTAATTTGAGAACAAAATTTTAAAGCTGCTTATGAAATGTACTTCAGAGAAATCAATGTTACCTGTTGTTCTAACATGCTGTTTATCAGGAGTGTTAAAATATAATGTAATAATGAAAGTATTTTAATGGTATAAATTAGTTAATTCAATATTTTTAATAAATAATAAATCTTGTAAAAATAATTATTATTAAAATATGATAAATATAATAATAAAAAAAAAATATTTTCCTCTCATTGTAAGTAACAACAACAACAAATTATTTAACTAAACATCGTAATTTTAAAATGTCTGGGTAGGCAGTTTTGTAAAGGTGTGTACACTGCTGATCATTACCAGATAAATTTTGGTAAAGATACAATTTTAAAAATCTTTTAATTTATGCAGTCAACATAGTGAGAATATCATACTTCAAGACACTCTGCGTAAAATTAATAGAAGAGAAAAAGAAACTGAAGAAACTTACAAAAATTTGATGAAGCAACTAGGAGAATTGGATCAACGTATTGAACTGATGTCATTTAAACTTGACAAGCTCAATGTTCTAAAGGTAAATATTTTTAGCATAATTATATATTTAAAATTATGCTTCTCAATTCAGATTTTACGCATGAATGCAGTTACTTTTAAATTATTATTTTAGTAACTTAAGAGTAATAATGTACAAATGCAGCATGTATTGAATAGCGAAAGGGCAAATAGATGTGAGAAATTTCTTTTTTGCATAAAATTTGTATTAAATATCTATCTTTATTCTTTTTCTAAATATGTATATAAACTCATACAAATGTAATACATTCAAAAGTCGTTAATCCGGGCACCCATAATCTGGAATGATCTATAATCTGGACCTCAAAGCTACAAACTTTCTGCGAATGTGTGAACGCATAATGCGTTCACGCAAGCGCATATGCATTTACCCATGCGCATATGCATGTTCGCATGCGCATAATACGTTTACGCATGTGCGTTTAATGTATAATGGACAGTATAAGCTAAGCTAAAATTATCTAATTATCTATTTCAGTTAATGTTGCAGATTGTGTTTTTCCTTAATCTTCTAATTGCATCCGGCTTATTATTTTTTGCAGACTGTTAAAGCAATTTGATAAAAGTAAGCTTGAACTTTCGATTATGTCAAATAGAATTTCCGATGCTGGATACTGCCAAAGGATCTACAAAGCGAAAGCATGTTTCGATGTCCATCAACAAAATGTGGAATTGCTGCAAAAAATGAATAAAGGCATATCCTTTGTTTCTCTAACCATTCCGAAATTTGTTTATCAATTTCACGCTGCTCTACGGGGTAGGGGAACGTTGCAGCGCGCAATGAACTGGAAGCTGATCTGTCAGCACTATCCTTATCTTTAGGGCAGATGTTTTTATTTTATTCGGCTTATAGTTCAATACTAAATGTAGTATTTCATCTCGATGTACTCTGATATGATTTAAATCAAATTCATTATAAATATCACGAATACACATCAAATAGTTTTCTGGTTGCAATTTTCTAATTTCGACTATGCGTAATGTATGCTTTATGCAAGTGCATGCTGAAAGAAATGTTTAATAAAGTAAACAAATAAATGTTAAGCTTTTTTTTTTTTTTTTTTTGTAAATTTTGATACCCTTTAGATCATATGTGTTCTTTATTTCATAAATTACGGTTTCACATTTTTAATTTTATAATTTCTGCATGCCATCTTACCAGATTTAAACTGATGATCTATAATCCAGAAAAATCGATAATCCGGAATCGCTGAAGTCCTGACGAGTCCGGATTAAAGACTTTTGACTGCAAAATATTTTTGTGTGACACTTTTTCCTATCCAAAGTAAAAATAAATAACAAGCATTATATGTATTTTGTGTTTAAGGATAGCGTAACATCAACTAGACTTTCAAGCTGGCCAGAAAGTGAAGACACATTTGAGAGAAATTTGAAATTTTATCAGTCTTCATCTGCTTTTTTAAAGTCGCCCGTTGGGTTTGGCCTTTCATTATTCAATTCAGATTTTCAGACTGCCTCAACGAATTCTAATTATCAAATTATTTCAAAAAGTCCCAATTTACAGACTGTTTCAGGAAATCCTAATTATCAAACTGTCTCAACACAAACAGATCTCCATATACTTTGTGGACATTGTCATTTCCCTGTATCTATAAAGCAGAATTTTTCTAGAATACAAAATATAGACTATGAAAGTGAAATTCAGAATGCAAATGAAAGAGCTAATTTTGTACCATCTGTTGCTGCCGAAAATTATAATATTGTAAGTCAAGAACTGCTACAAAATTCTCAGATGAAAGCACAAGAAAATTCTGCTTTTAATCAGCCTGTTTCAGGTTTTATTGTAACTGATCATAGGCTTTTTGAAACATCAGAAAATAGTTCAATTCTTTTTAATAAAAATAGCTTTCTCAGTGAAAACATACCTAATACATTGAAACTAAATGACAGTCATTTTAGTGATACTGCAGTTACTATTATACAACCTAAAAACCCTGTAGAAACTTATGAAAATAAAAATATTTCAAATACTGAAATTACCAATTCTGAGAAGAGAAGCCTAGAAGCTGAAAGGAGCGATGCTGTTGTTGATTATGATACTAACCAAATGGCAGCAATGAGAAGTGATGATGAAAGCATCAATCATGAATTTGACTTTTTAGAAAATTCCAAAAATAATTATACAAAATTAGATTCTGCTCAGAATCTCAAAGCGATAAATGATTCAATGGTTAAGACTGTACAGCAAGAAGAGCAGCATCATGCTCCATATCAACAAGATTCCTCAACTGCTGAAGGCATTGCTTATTCAGACCAGGATATCGCAGAATCCAAGAAAACAGGGAATAAGAAGCACCCAGATATTAAAAATTTCATGAAAGACAAAAATAATGATATAAAAAGTGATTCATCTTTGAGTGCTGGAGGTATGTAATATCTTATTAAATTTTTATAAATTTAAATGCATTAAAATATCCAGAGGTACTTTCTGATTATCTGTACCTCTGATTTTGACATTTGGTAGGATTGCTATGTTTGCCATGTTTCATGTGAAGTGTCCATCTGACAAAAGCGAGCCAACCAGTGCATATATTTGAGTACACATGGGTTTACATATTTTATATTTTTACTGTCATTTCACTGAACCACATGCAACAACTGTAAAAATGTATATATCGACCATATGGATTTTCTCACGTAAAATTTATAACCAAAATGCTTCTTTTTGTTATCATTTATGAATAAAACAATACATATGAACCATAAAGATATCCAAAAAAGTATGTTTTGCAAGTCAACAATGAGTTAACAAGTTTTCATGGAGGTATGGATAACCAGGGAATCCTCTTACAAAATTAAAATATATCTGATAATGTTAATGAGTAATAAAAAGATCTAATTAAATGTGTATTAAATGAGGGTATGGTTTATGATATTTAATAGCTTATCTCAATGAATGAGTCATTTAATTTAATTTTTATTTTTTTCATCATTTCCATATCTAGTAAACTTTGTATCATTTACAAGGGTTCTTCGAAAACTTAAGGTCTGAATCGCAGTAGCCACATAAACACTGAAACATGCATGTATACCAACTCCTGGCATGCCTTGCTCATCAAACGACACCATTTACATTGGCATTGTTGCAATGTGCTACCAATTCAAAATTTTCAAACGTTTGATCAGCCCACCAACTCTGAAATATGGTCAATGTTTCAGTTTTTGACAGTGAGAGCTTTCAAGAACGGATGGGAAAATGTCCATGATGAACCGTGATCAGGCTGACTATCAGTGATCACAGAAGATTTGGTCAATGCCATAGATGAAAAGATTCATTGAGACCAGAAATTTAAACAATTTCAACTTTAGTATTGGAATTTCCAAATGTGGGTAGAACAACTTTGCGCAAAATTGTCTCTGTCAAAAGTTGCAATTTCACAAATTGTGTGCATATTCGGTTCCCAGACTGCATACTGAGAAACACCCAATAAAAAGAATGGCTTGTGCTCTTGATTTTTTGGACCGATATTATAAGGAATGTGATAAATTTTTAGAGAGGATTGTCAAAGGGGACGAGATGTGGGTTTCTCACATGTCATTAGTCAATGGAATGGCATCGCAAGGCATCCCCAGCCAGAGTCAAGGCCAAGCAGACGATCTCAATGTGAAAGGTTATGGGAAGCCTGTTTTGGGATAGGCATGGAGTCTTTTTATTCGAATTTATGCAGCAAGGGACAACATAAACATAGCCCCTTACTACCCTACCATGACTTAACTCAGATGTGCAATCAGAATAAGCGACATGGCCTTCTGGAGTTTTGTTGCTGCAAGATAATACCAAACCTTGTTCTGCCATGCCACCCACCATACAGTCCACATTTGATACCAAGTGATTTTCACTTGTTCTGCTACCTAAAAGAGTTTCTCAGCTGCAAGCGCTTTGTCATAGATGATGAGGTGAAAGAAGCAGTTCAAGCCTGATTATCCTCACAGGCATCAGAAACCTATGACTGAGGCGTACAAAAGCTTGTAGAACGTTATGACAAATGTTTAAACAAATATGGAAACTACATAGAAAAGTAGAAAAACATGTAAGGAATTAAATAAATGTTAATACAATAACATGTAAGGAATAAAACTAATTAAGTCTGCTTCAGGTTTTATTGCTTTTAATCAGCCTTATTATAAATTATTGTATTAACATATTATTGTATTATTACTGGAATAAGTCTGCTTCAGGTTACAATAAAACCTGAAGCAGACTTAATTGAAAAAATGTCTGTGTTGGTTTATGTTTTATAAGAAATTGGACCTTACTTTCTGAATAACTTACATAAATAACATAAGTACAAACAGTAAGTTTTAAATGTTCAGGAACATTATGTATTATCAAGTTAAGTTGTTATTAGATGGTTTATCAAATATTTCAAATAAAATGAGGGAATTCTTGGTTTGAGAATATTATCTAGCATTTATAATTTTTTATTGAAAACAAAGTAGATGAGATAAATTTGCAATATGCTTGACACTTCATTGGTTGTATCAATTTTTAAACTTTAATTTTTTTTTTCAGAGCTTCATTCTCCATCCGTTCAGTCTGAAAATATGTCTGCAGGATCAGAATCTGATAGCTTCTATGAAAAGGAATCTCCTTTAACTGGTAATTTAATATTAACTATAATTAAAGTAAATTGTTACAGCATGTAGGAAAAAAGTAGTTACATTGAATATTTGAATGATGAAAAAATGGATTTTAATCCTGTATTGTGTTAATTTTTCTTTATATACATTATGTTAGGTCATGAACATTTTTTTACTTTAAAATTTCAAAAAATGTTTCAAACAATAAAAAATAAGGTCTTTTTTTTTGTTTTAGAAAAATAACCTAGGAAAAAAGAACAAAATTTTGATTATGTCTGTACACAGAATTCTTATATATATGCAGTTTTAAATGCAGAAAACAAAACTTCTGAACTCTTTGAAATTTATTTGCTTACATTTGAAATAAGTAAAATGGAGAACAAAATATTTTGGTAAAAATATCATAATTAGTTGATAATGCGATAATATATATAATTTTTAATAATTTACAATTTGCATTTTGATAAAAGAATAATACCATAACCATGCATATGCTATAAAAAACAATAAAAAATATTTAGTGTAAGAAAAAAATCTTAAACAAATTTTAATGAGAAATTTAGCATATCTTCTTTGCAAACAGTGCCTTTGGTTTATATTTGCAGATATAGATGACACAGGAGTTTGCACACAGCTTTTTTGTCATACATTATTGAGCATCAGCTGGTAGTTGCTTTTCATGACAATAAAAATACACTGTAGAAAGTAATTGCTCGCAGATATAAGTATTTCCAAAGTGTCATGATTTGCATTGCATTCATGAAAGTTGATGGAATTTTTCAAAAATCACATAATTTTGATAAAATTTTTTTGTCCAGATTCAGAAATTTATTTCTCAAATCAGTGTTGTTTTGTAAATCTATCAATTCCATTTTTAACTCATCTAGAACTGTTTCAATGTCTGTTAAAAGATTTGGGAATATTTTCATGTTTCTGAAGAAGTTTCTTTTCTCAAGTCTGGAAAATGTGACGTGTTATTTGACAACAGATGTATTTTCCAAATTTTGAATTCGGTATCAAAAGTTTAGTTTTTTAAACATGTTATGTTAAAAGTGGTTTTTCCCTTAAATTTCCATATTTAAGCCATTCATACGTCAAGATATATTGACGAGAAAAGCAAAATTTCACATCCATTCTTTATTATTGAATTAGAGAAACTGATATTCTTTCGTTTCCACAAACAATTTTATTTTTTTAAAGTTATCCATATATTTTTAGCATAGCATTTCTACTCAGCATATTTCTGTGTTATAAATTTCTTCAACATTCACTTTCAAAATCTTTTAAAAATTGTTTAAATTGGTGGTGATATAATGCTTTGAGAAAATAAGTAAATCTTAGTACAGGCATTTGGCATGTTTAAAATTTTTGTGCAAAGATTTTGTTCATGAATTAAGCAATAATTAACAAATATTTTGCTCCCTGTAAATTAACTTGAAACTGTTAATAATATATACATGCATTTATTATTACTCCATCATCACTGTAAAGCTCTTAATACAGTGCAAAGTCTTTAATCCGGATTGTTCAGGACTTCGGCGATTCCAGATTAGGGGTTTTTTGGATTATAGATCATCAATTTAAATCTGGTATGATGGCATGCAGAAATTATAAAATTAAAAATATGAAACTGTAATTTATGAAAGAAAGAGCAATTATGATCTAAAGTATCAAAATTTACAAAAAAAATTAATATTTATTTGTTTACTTTATTAAACATTTCTTTCAATGTAAGTTGTTTAAGTTGCTTCGCTTTATGTGCTAATACATTCTCTTAGTTCTATAAACAGACTAATTTCTTGTTCAGTTACAATTTCCGCTGTTCAAGTCCTGTAATTGCAGCACCGAGAATACCGACTAATTTGTCAATTCGAAATTTTTTCGTTTTCACAAACACTCTGCGTCACTTTCTTCAGGCCTTTATCCACTTTTTGCAGCCAATTTCCACTTTTTGTTTGATGGACATCGCAACATGCTTTCGCTTTGTAGATCCTTTGACAGCTCCAGAATAGGAAACTCTTTTTGACATAAGCGAAAGTTCAAGCTTACTTTTCATAAAACTGCTCTTAACAGTCTGCAAAAAATAAGTAAGCCAGATCCAATTAGAAGATTTAGGAACAATTCAATCTGCAACATTAACTGAAATAGATAATTAGATAATTTTAGCCTAGCTTATACCGTCCGTTATGCATTAAACGTGCATGCATAAACGCATATGTATAAACGTGCATGCATAAACGCATGCGTAAAGGTATTATGGGCATGCGTAAACACATATGCGCATGCATAGACGCTACGCATGCGCAGAACATTTGTAGCTTTGAGGTCCAGATTAAAGACTTTGTACTGTATCATTAAATAACATTCCCATGACTTATACATTAATGCTTGCTATTGCTCATCCTCCATCGAGTGATGTGCCCACAGTCTTTTCCAATGAAATAGATAAGTTCTGCATTAACAGTTCTAGGTCATTATACATGTTTTTTTTATCTGTTATAGTTCTTGTCATTGGCATCAATAAACTTAATTTTTCAGTTATATTTCCCTGGGAATTCATTCAACTTGCAAATACTTATAGTGGTGATGTGTCTGTCATTGATGTCTCAGCTCTCATCAAATGCGAAGGACAACCGTTGAAATGTTTCAGTGCATACATTGCTGCAATGTTTTCAGACAAAGATTTTTATGCCTTTAGTTAACCTGCATGCAGTAATTGTAGATTTATCAACAATAGATTTTCAATTCATCTTGAAAGTGTAAATCTTGACAAACTAATTTTGGAAAAAATGTCTTATGTTATCAGGGAATGCTATATGAGCAACAGTAGTTCAACGTTTCTTAATTATATCTCTATCAGCACATAGTTTAATTTTTTTGACTAAAATTAGAATAACAGTGTAACATGCTTTTATTGCTTCTGATGGAAAACTGAGTTTTAAGTATTTGTTGTTGTTGTTTAAAGCTTTTCCCAAATTCATTCAGTTTATCTTTCTGCATTTGGTCTTGGATGTTTTTATAATTTGTGTCATGTTTTATGGCAAAATGCTTTTTAATATTATATTCCTTTAACATGGATACTGAATCTAGACATAAAAGACAAACAGCTTTGTTTTTTACTAGAGTGGAAAAAATATTTCATTTTTCATTAAAACTTGTATTTGCATCCCAACGTTTTATGTTTTTGTAGGTTTTGAGGACATTTTTCTAATTTTAAAAAATGGGGTAAGTGTGTATTAAAAAAAATTAATTTTTGGTCAAAGCATTTACATTCATGCTAAATAAATAAGCAACAAGAATTAAAAGAAAATGCATGCATCTAAAAAGAGGAATTTGAACACACAGTTTGCATATGAGATAGAGGTTACATCACTGAATGCCAGTAGGCAACCAAAATTAGCATAAAATACAATCCGACAGTCACACCACAACCCTTAAAAAGGGGTACGCCGGACCTATGCATCAGTTCACAAGCAGTTATAGTTCCATGTGATCCGAGAAAGGCAAAATGGAAAGCATGAGCACTGTTTGCATGATTAAATGCATTGTAGGGCTGTCAGGATGTTGAATGTTGATGTAAGACAATCTGCTGTTGCAAGACAGCTGAACGTGCATCATAGTGCCATCAGTAGGTTGTGGAATCATTACCAAAAGGATCAAAATCTCTGTAGAAGATGTGGGTATGGATGTCAGAGGATTACCACAATGACAGACGATCGCTTCCTGTTGCTATGTGCAAGATGCCATAGATCACTAACATCATGACCGCTAGTATCGCATCTCTGTGCAATTGCAGGACAATCCATATCCCACCAAATTGTGTTGCATTGACTACATGAAGGTGGAGTGTATGCTTGATGACATGTGGTTTGTGCTCCTTTTCCCCACTATATATTAGAGCCTGTGAACATCAAAATTAAACACCAGAGCAGTGGTGCCACGTACTCTTTATGGGCGAGCCTTGATTTAACATCAAGAACGATTTTCTAAGGGCAACGATATGGCAAGAGCTAGGGACATGCTGTCGGACGGCAGACATCATTGAAAGAAACCATTAAAGAGGTGGATGCTTATTTATGTAGGCCGGTATAGCAACAAATGGCTGCACCAACCTCAATGTGATTTCTAGTGATTCCATGAGTGCCATCCGATATTGGGATGAAATTCTGCACCCTCTTATGCATACTTTTTTTTTTATCACTGCAGCGGGTTTATCACTGCAGTTTTTTATCACAGAGCTGGAGAGGTTTGGAGTTATCTGAAGAGTGAAACCATTTTACATTTGCCATGGCATGCTAGATCACTGGACCTGAATTTCATAGAGCATGTGGAGACATGTTGGGACAATAGATAACAGGTTACAGTATGTCGCCAGACACCTTGCACAAGCTCTGGCATGCATTATGACAGGAATGTGCACTACTGCTATAATAAGTGATCAATGACACTACTGCCAGGTTGCCTCGCTGTCAAGCATGTATTTCACCTAGATGGTATCATACTCATTATTAGCATTATGTTTCCATTGTGCATTCTGCCTACCCATTTGGTCTTTCATGGTGTAATGGTCATAATACATGTGTTTTTGTATGTCAATGCTTTATTGTTTGCTATGTGGTTGAGTAATGCCACACCAACCTCTTGAATCAATTTCACATATGTCCATTAAATAGTTTTGGTTTTATTTATGTTTTGCTTTTGTTGCTTATTTTTGAGTTGGAGTGTAATTTCTGAATTTAAAAATACTGCCTACTTTTTTTTACAATGATGCACTAACAAGTCATAAAAACAGTAAACACAAAATACACCTAAAAAAGTTCTATAATCTGTGAAAATATTTTAATTACACTTGAGGAACTATCATGAAACAAGCAGCTTGTATGGTTGCTAATGATTATCAGTACAGATTGCATGCACCATTGTGCATAACTCGGTTGTTTTTCCGATTAAATATATAAGCTTATCCTAACATTTGAGCTTGAGCTTCACATGAAAAACTGAGCCAGGGTGCACGTTGTTCACCCATGATCTAGAACAGGGGTTCTCGACCGGTGGTACACAAGAGAAAAATAGGTGGTATGCAAAGAAGCAAAGTTTTTTAACTATTAAATTCAAAAATTAAAACCTCAACATCATGATTGAGTTTTTTCTCCAACACTCGTAAATTTATGCAATCTGAGCTTTGTTCAAGAGTGGTGGTGGTAGTAGTACTTTGTAGTGTTGGAATAAATGTTTTCAGTTTTTGTTTAGATGGTATGCATTAGTCAAAAGGTTGCGAACCGCTGATCTAGAATAAATCCATTAAAAAACCCATACTGATACAAATATCATATTCTGAAATTAAATTTCAGGGTTTGATTGCAACATGGAAGCTTTATAAAATAAATGTGTTATGGGAAAGAATAATCTTAATTCATAATTTTATTATGAAAAGCATTTGAAAAGTTACTTAAGTGTTTTTATTTTCTGATTAAGGAAACAGAAGAAAGTATTATGATTGCAGAAATTTTGATTTTAGTTTCTGTAGATGCCCATTTATTGAGGATTTTTAATGAGCTTCAAAAAAGTTCTAGCTATATCTTACTTAAAACAATAATTCCCAAACTGTGGGTCAAAAGACAAATTTTGGTGGTTTGCAGAAAGTTTTGAAATATTCTTTTTTTAATTATATAATTATGGAATTAGTTTTTGTAATTGTAAATTGAACTATTAATAATATAGCACATGAGAACTCATTATATAGGGGCACATAGCTGAAGGTGTTAACTTGCAGGTGTTCATATCCAGCAGCTGCCAATTCATTCTTTTAACCAATCAAAATTCCTGGATTTATATTCATTCTTCCTGCTTATTCCCAACAATGTCATTACAGTTATTCATGGTATAATATAAACAGGCTATTGCATTTGGTGACTAGCTGTGTTGAGGGAAAAGTACCCATATTTATTAATCATATTTTACTTGCATTTGCAATTCTGATGTGCTTGTTATAATCCCCTGCATATTCCCACCACTATATTAATAAAACGTAGCTAGTATGATAAACATGTATTTTTTTGCTTCTTTTAAACAAATGCAAAAATGCTTATTTGATGTACAGCCAACTTATATTGTGCAGTGTGTGTATTTCTTATTATTTGTACAATGTGTAGATTTCTTTATGTCTTGCTTGTTTGTATATTGTATTGATATTTAGAGCTCTATCAAAGGTACAGTAGCCCTATGCTATCATTTTGTCTTTTACTTTTAATAAATCCATTTAAAAACCCATACTGATGCAGTTATCATATTCTGAAATTAAATTTTAGGTAGTCCTATGTTGCCTCCCTATTTAGCCCAATACTGTATGTTGCTTACTTTAGTAACCATTGTAGTATACTAAACTTTTTTATTTCTATTTATAAAGCAACTGCAGCTTATCAAGCATTGTTGGGCAATGTGGCTGCTGTTGAAAAAGTAATAAAAACTCCTGTGATTTCCGATTCTGAATCTGAGGATGATGTTGAGCATGCCTTAGCAACAGCTGTCCGAAAGACTAGCAGTGTGTAAGTTGAGTAAAAATTAATGTTCTTAGATTCAAAATTCAAAGAGTTTTTTAAATTAATATTTCAGGTAATATATTTTTATCTTCTTATATGATATTTTTCAATGCAGGATCTTTTTTTTTCCTTTTAATTTAAAATTAAAAAATTAACTACTGAAAAATTATTAAAGAAAGACTCATTTCCTACAGTTTAATACCATTTGTAATAAGTTGTGTCAATGATATTTTCATGTACTGAAATGCAAATTTTGTATATAATTCTAAATAAAGTATTGATGGTAATGTTCATTCCTAGGTATAATTTGTTTAAAATTAAATTCAAATAGTTGAATGTACATTTTAAAAAATATTGAGTAAAAATGGTTTGCTTCTTGAAAGAAAATGAGCTACTTGTGTAATAGCTTGCCAGTTACCAAATTGTTGAAGACATTAATATTAAAAATAATAATTCATCTTTAGAATGTGTACCTACTGAGAATTATGCAAAAAATACTATTGAGCATTGGATTACACAAAGTTTATATATTTATCAAGAAATAAAGAAACATTGGTTTAATAGTGTTCATGTACAGTGGTGGCCAAAATTGTGGACACTTTTGGAAATTTTTATGTTTTTGAACTTTGTATGCTTATAGAAAATGTTACATTTCGCAAAATGCAAACTTGTATATATCATTTTGAAGAGAATTTATTACTGAATTCAATACAAAACACAAAATTCACTTATTTGCAATACAAAAAAAGTTATATGTACTTTAATGTAAATAAAAAACACAGTTATGAAGTGGTTTGTAATGTCTAGCTTTCCTGGCCAATCACTGTTCTTGTTCTGAGAACCAATCAAATGTTAGTAATTGCCAGTAGAAGCTGACATCATGTTTATACTTGAAACAGTTCATTATTTTGCTTTGTTCTGTAGAAGGAGGACCTGTTTCTTATACACTGCAATTACAAGTAGGAATTTTTGTAAAAATTTTTAATATTTAGTCAAGAAGCAATAACATCAAATAAAAGAGTAGATTGGACACCTAGAAAGAGATGTAATATTATTGTGTTACAAGAAAGTGGTCTTTCCTCTGCTGAAATTGCAAGACAGGTGGGTGGTTCAGTGACTACATCTGGAGTCTGAAAGTTTTGTTTATTATTTCAGGAGACAAATTCAATAAAAAACAAAGAAGGAAAAGGCTGAAAAAAGTGCACCACATCTATTGATGACAGAAGAATAAAAAGACTATGTCTCCAAGATAGAAAAATGTCATCAGTGGCCTTCAGAAGTGATCTGAATGATGCTGGTGTTTCTGTCAGTTCAAGAACAATCAGGAGAAGATTAACAGATGTTGGACTGAGAGGTAGAATTCCACGAAAAAAGCCTTATCTTAATTTTCAGCTACGAAAAAAAAAAAAGACTACAGTGGGCAAAGGAACACATTAATTGGACAGATGATCAGTGGTCACAACTTATATGGAGTGATGAAACTAAGATATCGTTATTCGGTAGTGATGGGCGAAAATATGTAAGACGTAGAATAGGAGAAGAGCTACATCCTGACTGCATTCAAGCAACTATGAAGAACCCAGTTAGTGTTATGATTTGGTCATGCATGTCAGCAGATGGTATTGGTCGCCTTCATGTCATTGATAGGACACTGAATGCCAGAAAATACATTGACACTATTCTAGAACCAAAACTTCTACCTTCCATCGGAGATCTCTTTCCCAACAATGCTTCATTTATTTTTCAGCAGGATTCTGCTCCTTGCCACATGGCCAAAATATCGAAAGAGTGGTTTCGTACAAAGAGCATTAAATTGTTGTCAAGGCCAGGAAACAGTCCTGACCAGGGCCGGCGGAAGCGGGGCCCGCAAGGCCTTCTTTGCAGGCGGGCGCCGACCAGCGAATGACACAGATCATTTTTTTTAATGCAAAAGAATGTGCATTTATCGGGGAATGTTCCTTGAATGCTTACACAGGACAGGGACCAGGGGAGTTCGCGCCCCCTCCCAACACCTCCTAACAGAAGGTATTGCCCCTCCCCACCTTTCCCCTCCAGCTCATCCATCAATGCCTTGTCACCCATCCGTCAATCGTCAGGGATATTCCATTTTCGTATTTACTGAGTCACTGAGTGGTTGGCGAAGAAAATTTTCGATGCACAATAACCTTACTACTATTGGAAAAGAAAAGTCCATTTGATGAAGTACGTTCTTATTTTATTTTACTTAATATAATTTCTATTTATCCTTATTTTATCGTTTATATTATATTTTTATTTAAAATGTATACAGTGAAATACGGGTTTTTTTTCTTGAAAATTTCTGTGAGGACGGGAAGGGGGGGGGAACGGATTAGCCCTTTCTATCAGGGAAAATTTGCCATTTTGCCATATGTAAGAATGAACACAGGCACCAACTTTTCATTTTCTTCACGGGAGTTGGAGGGGAGGGCAAGATTTTGCATGGACGAAAACGCAAAACTCTATAGAGCAGTGCTTCTCAACCTTTTTTCACCGGTAAAACCTACGAAAAAATTTCGCGGACCAGTGTGTTTTTTCCCCCCCCCCCAAAAAAAAACTTTACAAAGTATTCAAGAATTACTACATAAGTGAGTTGTAATATTATTACCATTTGCCTACAATCATATTTAAATATATGTGCCTTTCGTTTCCTTCTTACTCATCCTGGTTATTGATTTTTAATATACCTATAGTTAAAGAAATAGTAGTTATAGCACAGTATTAAACTCCATGGTTATTAAAAACTTACGCTGATGTATAGTTTTCAGTTGTCCAAACACGCAGAAGAATGTAAGCAAGATAAAAACTGAAACCTACCCTAAGACGCCTTAAACAATACGATAGATATTCATCGTTCAAGTAATCAGCAATACTCGAGGCAGACAGGAGCACACTAGCTGGTGTACTAAGTGTACGGCACGGCAATTTATAAAAGGCGATTAGGTACCTAGTTGCCAGGTTGTTATATTTTTATCACCGATCATATTATTTTATAAACTAGTGAGCTATTGTTATTGTAATGTGGGTGCTGTTGTAATACCGGTAATTTCGGTTTTCGACAGATAGCTGGATATTTCGCTATCTGGACACTTGTATAGAGAGTTTATTTTCTATTTCGGGGGGGGGGAGGAGGTTGCCGGTGTTTATAGTCTAAGTCCAAATTCTCAACATTTATACAATTTATTTAATGACTAGACTCCCCAATTAAGCATCTTGGTGTGTTCGCGCCATGGACCTTATAAGAAATAGACAAACCCAAACGGGTTTTCTCCCTCGTCTGATGCCCTGCTGGCTGTCACCTTGATCACATCCGGAGGAGTAGGGACGACTTGCAGAAATTTAACATTGGTTGCCTATTGCAGCGTGTATAATTGTCAAGAAAAAGCTGGTTGTAGCGCCTCATTTCACAAATTAGAATTTCTACATACTTTTATTTTTGAAATTGAGATTGATTTTTAAAAATTTAGCATATTTATCAAGCATAATTAACGTTCCAAATAATTATAAAGCTATTGCATGGTTTCAGGGCTGGATAATTTTTTAGCATTTCCTATGTTGTAAGGAAATTTGTAACTACTTCTTTTAGAAAAACATATTTTAAATCTGAACTAATAGAAAATTTCAAACAAGCAATTTTCTCTTGCAATTTTCATGCTTTTATTGATGTAAATAAGTAAAAAGTACTAAAATATTTAAAAACGAATTTTTGAAAGTTTTGTTTAAAATTCTAAATTGTGCTGCTTTTTTTTTAAATTATAGATGAGTATTATAGCATAATTTCTATAAAGGAATTTTATTTCAATTATATTTCATAATATATCACAGTGATAAACACTTTTGACTCCTTAAAAGTTTTTTATACATTTAATTCTAATATTAAAATTGTATTTAACCGTACTAATTAATTTTGCTTGTATTTTATAGCGATTATTTTGTAAAATTTATTTTTAGTTCTGTATAACATTTTTTTATTTACTGTTAATTTAATTTGTTAGCCCAAAGCGGTGGTAGCTTAGAAAGGCTGTTAGTTTCGAAGCGGAATTTTGCGCTGTTTTACTATAAGTGTCCGTGTCTCCTTGCAAATTGTTGTTACCAAATATTATCGCCCTGTATTATATGTAAAGAAATTAAATAATGAAGAATCTGCATGAATACATGTATGTTTCTTGCACTGTGACAAAAACGACAGTATCTAGAGCCATCAAATTTTGAATAATGTAATCCTCCACCCCATGGGCATCTGGACGGCCGAATTTCGAATTTGTTTTAATCTATTTCATATTTTGTAAAACTTTAGCAAATTTTTTATTAACAAACTCAACGAGTTCAAAGCGAGCGAGCACTGTACGGAAAATAACAGTTTTATCTCCAGTGCGGAAATTCTAAAGATATGCTGTATTCAAATGTATGTGGTTTACGAAGAACATGATATTCAATAAATATAGATAACACACAAAACTTTAAATAAAGGTTCCTTTTGGGCGTAATATAAAATCTGAGTACTTCTAGATTTTATTTTATCTTTTTTTTTTCCCTTCATTAAGCTCAGAAAATTTTATGCTCTGAATTTTATGAATTATTAAAGTAACTAATCCACTTTAATTTTAATAACTTAATGATCACATAATTAAATAAATATGATGTTTTTGTAATGTTATTATAGTTTGGAAACTCATTGCCTGAAAATGTTCATTAAATTAAAAAAAAAAATTAAAAAAAATATCAGATCTTGTTTAATTTTACCTTATTTATTTCAAAGCATCACGTACTATCAATCTTATTTAATTTTACTTTATTTTTACGCAAAATAAAGTTCATAAATTTTGTGCTTAGAATTTTTACCGTTTTAACAAAATAAAGATGTTTGTACAAGAATTACGCGGAAAAAAATGCGCGAAATGCAGTTAAAAAGTGCTTTTATGAGATAGATTAAATCCTATTTGGAAAAAACTGTGGCTTTCATAATCTCATCACTATACAATATATCC